GAAACGGAAGTCTGCGATAATCAGCCCTGGGCCGGGGTCAGGTCAGTCATACATCATACTTCGTAGGCAAAGTGTAGAAATTTTGAAGTTCCACTAAAGATTTTATACCATACGTGACGTCTCAGTCGATGTTGAAACAAAAGTAACACCGTACATCTCTTTCATCCTTACTTGTGTGTGTGTCATGTGCATCTAACATATCACGAGGGAGACAGGAAGTCTATTTTTGGTGCTTCGGCATAGCATGAAACCATTTGCAGTTATAATTACACAGCATAACCCAATTTGTCAAAACGGACTGATGAGAAGTTTCGCACACGTTTGAAAACAGTTATTTCTGCTGCAACAGGAAAGGTCCGGAAGCGCAGGTAAATTTCATTACTGAGTAATTCTTCAAACTTGTACTCGTCAATCATCAGATGAACTAATTTATCTCTATGGATGTGAAACTTACAAGATTCAGAGATTGCCTTTCAGTTATTATTAGAACATGACATAATACTGAAGTGGTAAACCCAGGGTTAATACAGAATCTTCAAAAATGACGTAGGAAGTAAAAAGCTGTCCACTTAATGGGTATGGAACTGAAAGTTATTGAAAAGATCTTTCGTCCATTTGGCTCCACTTGAAATGGGGACACTTGGTAGGGGACTCTTCCTTTCAGTCATCCGTAAGTTGCGGATAGTGCGTGAGTATACTCGTAAGAGAGGCAAAAGTTATCAAGCTATAACTGAAAGGCCCTCACCAAGATTTTCGTAGGGGAAAGTAAGTGGTTCACCTCGTATCCAGCAAAAATATGGAGCACATCATGACATCAGTCTCTTGCACATCGCCATTATGTACAGGAATATTCATGTAGTCGTTGCGATAACATAACTGCTACACGGGAGAAGGATCTTTTAATGGAGTGGATTTGCTGTGGAAATGAAGACCAACAGAATGCATCATTCCCAAGTCATCCTATTGTCTACAGAGGATAAAACACTCAGGCCAATGCCATCATGCCACGATTGATGTTTGATTCGGTTAAACTTAGCAGTATGAGTTTAGTTGGCTCCATGTTAAGGATACTATCTGGGTGCTCAGGCTTGAAATGGAAGTCCGTAAACAGCCATTTTCTCGTTGGACTGCACAATCATAAGACAACACTAATCGGCGTAAGGCTGCTTGTGCACAGAAAAAAGGACAAGGAAATTCGTTTTACATTTCAAGTTTAAAAAACCACGAGATTGTTTCTGCATAAGCCAGCGCTTCTCAGAAGGATGATGAAAAGCTGTGGGGGAGATGAATTAGGGTCAACTGCAACCGTGAACCTAGAAACAACCGCTATGAGAGAAGAGATGAAGCCTCACGGGGTTGTATCCCCCGTTCTTTCACAGACTTATACTACCAGACTGCAATCATGAAAGTTCATTTTACCCGGACCTTCAAGTGACACATTGGGGTGTTCAATCAATTTCAGTCAGCTCATTCAGTGCTTGCATGTTGAGCGGTCTCTGGGCGGTAGGTTACCTGCGGTGGGGTCTCTTGAAAACGAGGAGCTTACAGTGAAACATGGCAAATGCGAATACCTCCAAACGTCATTGTTCCCACATATGACATCACGGTGGTCATTTTCGTGTGCAGCTGAGTGGAGAAATCTAGCATCTACTTTAGGTTAAACAGCAAATCACTACTAATGATGAACAGTAGTTTGATCAAATACTGGCGACGCACACGCGGCCTGAGAGTTGTATTTAACCAGCAAAAGTCTTCAGCGATGTTATCCTCCATGTATAATCCACAGTGGGTACCGGCATGTTAGCCATCCAGCCAAGCACACAGATACAGTCCATGATGCGATGCACACCATGCCACGAGCCTGCATGCGGGAAAATAATGAAGAATCTAGGTGGCATTTGACCTGCGTGTTGCGACTGATGTGACGCATAGTGGTACCACGTACACTCAACTCACAAATCAAAGCACTGCAAGTTCGACAAAGCAATACAGATCTATGTGTAGCAGATGACGACTAAAAAGCAATATAACAAGCATTCTTGCACTCAAGAAGGTTGGAATTCATTTCCATTTACCTGATTCTGTTTGTAGAATGCAAAGCAGAGGAAAAGCGACTGCGAAATCAGATGCATACATGTTTCTTTGGAAAACTAAACATCGAAACAGCTCACTTTTCACAATTTTCTCCGTCAGTTCTAATCCCCTGAAAACTGTCATTTTGCGCTAAGAAAGCGGGGGTGCCTGATAAGTATCATTTAAAGGAATATGGTGGCTCGTGATCAGAACCCAAAGAACAGTTTGGGGATGCAGTTTTTCATCATTACTGGCAATTCGAAGAGAGAGAGTTCGTGAGAGAGGGACAATTTTTATAGTGAAATAGACGATCGACTGCTAAGTAACTAGCTCAATCTCGTTACAGTTGATTGAAAGCGTCGATCAATTATTTATAGTGTTCGCTTTTGACTTCAGGTCCTAGCACTGTCGTCATATCTTCCAATTTGTTTGAATGCTCAGTTCACCGTAGCCCAGTTGATCGACTATGATCGTGTTCAGAAAATATGGTGATTACAACAAACCCCAAAATGTGACGTTTACTTAATTGGCTTTTCGTCCGTTCCTCACGGCAGGTTGTTATGTCTAAAGCAGATCAAATAATGTAAAAGAAATTGGAGCCAAAAATTAAGTTATTTCTCGAAGACGACAGTCAGCTGTTTTCACTGTTGTTCGTGCTCATCAGGTGGACCAGACAAATGCAGTACAACCCTCTCTTGATTGTCAACCAGCTGTTGATTTTCTCCGGCCACAGACGGTTGCTGCATACCTATTGGGGAAGTTTTTAGAGTACTTTGAAGCAGCCGTCAACCAAGATATCCATTCAAAACGTAGTCATCAATTTTAACAAATGTAGGAGAATTTCACAGAACACAAAGTCCTGTTTTCATACAGGATTTAGATCACGGTATATATATATATATTCATATATATTCAGATAATGCTTAGGCTGGAATAGTCCATGCTGCGTCGGTGACCTCATGCTTTGGGAAGTTCGCGTGTTAGGGTCACAAAAGTCGCAGTTGCATCTTGAAAATTGTATGCTGAGTTCAACTGACTTCAGACAGAGTGGTCCTTTTCAAAGAAATGATCTCTTCTCGTGGAACCATCCGTGAAGAAGTTTCCCGGTAGACCGAAATATTGTTACTAGATGGTGCTAGATTATCAAAGTCTCCCAATGGGAAACAAAGTGTACACAACTGAGGGCTAAATTTCTAATATGGAATGTTTTTCTAACAAACACACTCAAATTCTGAAGCAATAAGCGAATCACAATGGCATTTACGGGCGATTCAAATGCATTCACTGCGTATGATATTTATTCTCTGATTGAATGTGTTGCCTCATGTTTCAGTTGGCGTACATAACGTTTGCTTCTGTATTTGTATAATTCATCACAACTGTACGTTAACTCATTTGGATCATGTGATACAGGGTGGTTCGTCAGGCCAATTTCGGTTTTGTACATCATGTATTCTTAATCGAAGAAGGATTTGTATTTGAGTCGCTGGATACTGACTCTGTACTGTTAACGTTAGCTTTTGGTGTACATCCGAAAAGATGGTTTCTTTTGAATGTAATTTTCTGAAACATCAGTCCATTTGATGGTAATTATAAAATGTTGTGCATTGGATCATGCTAAATCGCCCTGGCCGACTGTCGTCTATTAGACCTAAGAAAAAAAACGAAATAAAGCGGAAAACAAACTGTATACTGTCTTGCTTTTGGCACGAATCTGTCAAGTATCTTTTTCACGAAATTCTCGGCCGAATAGATTTGACAAAATCTTCAATGAACTCGCGTTAGACAAGAAAGATCCTTCAGTATGTATACACTCCATAACTAGGAAGCAAATTCAGCGTGTTTTTTATTCGCTTTTACTCTACATTCTCCACTACCGTGAAAAAAGCTATTTTTTAAACAGTACGACGTACATTGCAATGATATGCTTTAATGACCGAAGCAAGTAGTAGTCAAGGTGAACATTAATTTTCAGGTTGAGCGATTAGTCACCGGGGTTTCGGCTGAAGGAATAGCATAAACAAAACTTTTGGATGCGTTTCAGCTAAGTCGACTGTTAGCACCAATGTACTCTGCGTGTGAGTGCTTATCACAGCAAAGTCAAAAGAGGATCTCTCACCCAAACGTTCCAGAAATGATGACTCCTTAATGGCGTCCAAGCGTTTTACAAGTGATCAAAACGCAGAATTTATTCTTCCTGGTCTGACACCGATCTGACATCCCGAAAAGCACCTCAGCTTGAGAATAATTTAAGGGTGGTGATAAGTGTGACTGCGGACTAGAACTTTGACTTCTACGGTCACGTGAAAAAATGCATCTTGTCATGCATCGACTCAGTCAGATACAAATTCCATGGATTTATATGCCGTCTGGTGGGTCCAGCGCAGTTGGAGAAACAATTCACGAAAATTTTGAAAAATTTCTTTCTCTGTATTTCCTGGGGTGTGAGAGATCTGAATGGCAACCTTGAGGTCATCTAGGGTGTCCGTCAGCATTCGCACATGAGAGAAAAATCTAGATGAATTTTTGTTTACTTTGTCATTTTACTTATTTATTTTTTGATAAATATCGTGAGCTGTGTTGGGTTTTAAGTCTGTTTCTTCATGTAAATGAATATATATGATGTGGAACTTTGTATCACTTAACGCATCCAGTTATCTACACCATGCCCGGGGGAACGGGCGGTTGTTGTGAGTGAAAATTGTCCAGTCTTCCAGCTCACCATCCTGAAAGTTGGTGTGGTTTGATGGATTTGCAAATGGGTTAAAAGCAGAAGCTTGAATCATGGAATCATGGAAGGCCCACATTATGGTGATCGACTGAGGCAAAAATTTGCAACCTGTTGTAGTGGGCATAGCATTGCATGAAAGGCTAATGCACACTGTCTAATGTACCAGTGCGTAAGTAGCCATGAGGGCTGCCCTCACTTTGGCCACATGGAAGTAGGACGCGTGTCGCTCTGGTATAGCCAGTGCAGCTGGACTCAACGATTCAACTGGGATCTTATATCTCATCTCAAATTCAACTGGAGCATCGTTCACATACTGACTCACGCGAGAACAAAGAAAGAACGTGAACTCATGTAGGAATGGCACCCCACTGAAAAGCCAGCAACAAACATATCGAAACTCACCCATCTGTCGACCACTACAAGCAAAAGTACTGCAGAACGCAGAGGCGGACAAACTAAAACGAACAAAAAATCAGGCTGAATCGGCCAAAAGTAAGGAAACCAACAAAAATGGAGACCGTCATCACAACTACCCGAATTCGAAGAAAGGGACTACAACGCAACACAACCCGGGAACGGACCTGAGACACCTCGGAACAGCTATCCAACCAACCAACGGAATACAAGGCATACAGACCACAGCGCAGCCCAGATCACAATGGAGCCAATGATACTACAAGAAAGTTGTATACCAATTGGCTAATCACATGACAGGATATTAGATACTCTTCAAAAGCTATATAAATGCATCTAGGCACAGAGGAAGAACCCATTCAATGCATACTGACGAGGTCTGCCAAAGAGGGACAAAACATCTGCAAGCCAATTATCAAGCTCGGCGAACAGATCAACCACCATCTGATCAACCAACTGTAAACATACTCGAGCTACATATATTTCGACAAATCGACAACTCATAGTGGTGTTATGCACTTCCCAACCTAACATGACATTGACGAGAATTTTCTCCGCCCCGACTCAGGACAACTAGAAACCAGCAAAGCGTGGAAGAGCGCATTTTTCGTCAATATGGTGGTTGATCCGAGTAGTTCGGTAGTCTGCCTGTCACAAGCCGTATTCAGCGCACCTTAGGTAGGCTGACACACATGCAGTGGTGCATCTTCGTAATTCGCGCTTTTTGTTGCACCCACGAGAATGGAACGGCACTGATGGCCATATACAGGCGCATGCGTGTACGCAACCGGAGGGAGACGAAGTATGGGAATTGTATGACCGGAGTAGTACGATGACGGTTCGGATTTTAAGGAAGCGCGCAACGGGAGACGTTGTTGGTGCGAGATTTCGCGGCAGTTGGGAAATCAGCCCCATAAAATCAGGCATACAGGAGAAACACTGAGTTTATAGATAATGCTGGGAAGGTTTTGATGTCATGTTGAATCCAACCTTGAGTCTGACGGTCTCCGCTCAGTCGAAAGAACTCACTCATCCTCGTCCCCATACCTTGGTGACAACTACATATTTTCATACAGCCTAACGAGTGCTTACCTGTTTAACTAGAGAATGTACGTTTGTCTGTTCAAGTGGGCCAAATCAAGAGTAACCAGCACGCTGTGATTCATTAGTACCGATACGCTTCCTAGTTGTTACAGGGAATGTGGATTCAATTCCTTGTAAGGAAGAAGTCACGTCCGGGTGTGAGCCAGAAGGGCGAAAAATGTATTCACTACATGCATTTACTAATACATATCAATAAACAAGACCAGGTTAACCAGCAAGTATGAAAGATCATGATGAAATCAAAAATCTATTCACCGGCAAATATGTTGCGCTTTTAGGCTACCTATTACGTTTTAATTCAAGAGGTTTTTTTACAAGCAGAGTTACTCCACAGTTGAAATCTGTTTTAGTGGCACATCTGGGCTTCTTCTAATGTTTGTCTTGACATTTGTGGTGCACAGACAAAGTTGGGAAACGTATAGAGCCTTTACATCTCTGACATTTTAAAACGCTATAAATGGCCATAAACCCATGTCTGGGTTTTGCTTATCGCGAATGTTGTAAGCTACACCCTGCTTGATGCACGATTACCGCCATTTATCCTGTTCCGCTTATTCCTACGTCTTACCTACTTTTAGACGGAGAAAAAAGATAAGGTATTTGATGCGCAGTTTTTCACTTGGGCGATGAATATCAAAGACGTATGTGGTGTAGGACGCCCAACACATTTCGTAGGAGCGCCAGTGCACCCGTCCCGATGGCCCGCACATGACTGTGCAACAGTTCATTCTAAAACCGAGACTAGCACTTTATGTGTTTGTTGCTCCGTGTCTGCGTGCAAGAAGTCAGTAACAAACTTATGACTACCCAAAAACATCAGTTGTTCACCAGAAATGAGTGAGATAGGTATGTTTCAGTCGTACCCCTGAAACCGCTGGAAAAGAGTAGTTTGTCCTAGATGCACACACACACACGAAAGCTCTAGACGTCTTTCTGTTGATCCTGATCACCAACGAAGGCACTGATGTGACCAGATTTGACATAAAGACTCTAGTACCAAACTACCACCATTCAAACACCTTAAAAAAAGACAAAAACTGTCTTATTTCCTAGTGACATTTTGTGGTCATACGTAGACTCCGAGGTCATTTAAGCCAAGTAAAGGGCGAAAGGATAAAAAGCAATACCCAGTTTACCATTTGTTTACGCAAGATGAACTGCTGACGTTTGCATTGATGCATTCCTAAGGACACTGGCGTCAGACAACCAGCTGCTTGTTTGTCTTTAATACACAGGTGTGTTTATATCAGTCATGGAGCACCCAGAATTCTGTTATGTAGGACCATGATCCAGGGGGCAAAATATCAACATTTTCATTCATGAGACCAGCTTCTCTAATGTTTTCACACTAGAACCTAGAATCAAATCAGATTTACAAGCAATATTTGAGTGCACTATGGCCTCACAAGTCAACTGTATACTGCTCTACCAGAGCCAGCGATCCAACGATGACAGGTGACTTCGAGCAGGAGCAGGAGGCCATTAGCGCTTTCCGGAGTGAGGTGATTAGCACAAACAGGTACTATCAGTAGTCATCAGATAAGGTTTAGAATGATCTGTGGGATTCTCACCTCAGGTGTTGAATAGAACGATTATCGCAGATCTTTAGATTAGGGTGGAATGAACGTATGCAGTGAGAGAACCTCAAGGAGTAAGAAGTACAGTTACTCACGTAGATACCACAACCCTTTCGTCCATTAGCATGCAGAACATCCTTTTACCTAGCGAAATACACTCGTTTGCAAACAAATTTGGTTTTGCAGGAACCCAGTTGCTTGAAAACGTGTGATACTGTGCAGCTAATCACCCATGCGTGTTCGTGCTACTGCTTTCTACGCCACAGTCGGAGTGAAAAGTGAACTTCCTCCATGTTGTTTGCTTGTCTTGATAAAAAGTGACTATGGGGCTAGTCATGAGAGAAGCGCAACAGGCCTTTCTGGAACCCATAGTTCGTACAGCTGAAACTGAGACGATATGGACCAGATACGTTCTCACAACTCACAGATTGTTACAAGATTGAAATTATCGACTAAGGTTGCTGCCGTGTTCACTGGCGCATTTCGCACTCCTCATTAGTATTCATACACGGGGGAGTTCAAAAAAAGATTTACAACGAAGAGCAGGCTATCAAGTTAGTACATTGTTTCAGAAGGAGTTTGGTAGTGTGAATTTACTGCGAAAAAGTATAATAGACTGACTACCACTAGCAGGTTGTCTGCGGATAGATTACCCCAATATCTGTCTTGAAAATTTAAACTACACAGCATTGCTAAATTTATCGGAATTATTTCTGCTTCATTTGCGAACAAATAATTTCTTCACACTGAAACGCCTATAGATGCTGCTAAGCTGTTTACTCGACAAAAAGCATCTCTTTTTGGGGAAGATGGAAAATATGACGCATCTCTCGATTTATCTACATAAGGCTAACGAAATTTTCGGCTTCAAATGCTGTGAATGTTTTTAGCGGTTGATAGCAGAATGTAATGCCATCGCTCCCTTCAGACGCACTGTGGACCACCTAATAAAATTGATTACACAGAAATGAGATATAGTGGTGTATCATCCCAAGTTCGAGAGAGCTCAGCTGTCAAGGAGCAAGCTTAGTGACCGGAAGGCTCATGGTTCGAATCCAACCTCCACACCTTGACTACCTGAGTGTAGACCTCGGTCCGACAGTACCTCAGCCATCGTGCTTTCTTAGAGTAACATAACAGCTAAACGCCAAACTATGGTTATTAGGGACGCAATAAACTACTCGTAAGGTTGCTGAAAATTCTTCGACAACCCACGACCGGTTTCGCCCTTCTTGGGGCTCGTCAGATATGTCCAGTCCCCGAGTTCCCGTCAACCTTGTGTTCTAGTTGAGCCCATATTTCACGAAATTAGTTAAATACACTCATTTGCAAACAAATTTGGTTTTTGCGGAAGACTCGCCCAGAATCCAGCTGAATCTATCGTTTATGGGGTTTTCAAACAACTGAAGATGCTGCAACAGGCCACCCCAACAACCTTACTGGTGAAAGGAAGAAGGCTTTCACTGCGAAGTTATTTATTAGAAAATGCCAACTGACCGGTTACAGACCACTGGACAGGGATGCAAAACTCTCATTTGCATCTATCTTAGTTACAAAAACTGGACACAGATATTCTCCCGAACGAGTCCTCCTGGAGATTCATTGCCTCCAATCGTTCGTCGGCCAAATAAAAGCAAATGTTGCAAAGTGGCCCCGCGAATTCCGCAACAGATTTCCATTTTTCAATCAACGCAAAGCGAAATTCTACGAACAACACATACTACTCGCGTGCCTCCCCATCAGTAGTGTCACTGTTGCACACCTCCACCCCTTAAAGCTCGTTCGCATGCCATTGATTTTCATTTACCTCCGTCAGGTCGGCTTCGGCAGCGGGTCTACTGGCCACTTTTCGGGTGTATCGTGTCACTTGCGAAGCTGCGTCCCATTTACTCTTTTCGATCCCCGACCAGCTTGAATTGTATAGACGTTCCCCCGGCAGTCGGTAACGAGAACCGGCCCTTGCCATCGACTGTCTAACCGTTTTCTACCTAGTTTTTTCCTGAACGGCGGTCAAATTTTCTCGGGCTCTCCTTTTTCTTCCTCTAGCTCCTCCGGGGACAAGCATGTTCCTGGCCACAACCCAATTTCCTGATCAACCGGAAGGCGCGGATGTCGACCATACATCAGCATGAACGGGGACTTGCCTGTGGTTGACTGTATGGAAGCACGATGAGCTAGAAACACCATTGGCAGGTTCACTTCCCAGTCACCTCCTTTGGCCGCCAGCCAATCCTTGATCGTTCGGTTAGGCCATTTGTTTTCAGGTGGTATGGTGCCGTCCTTAGCCGTCTGATACCCGGCTTCTGCAAACAATTCCTAAACTCCGCTCTCGAAGCAGGGCCCCTGATCGGTTAGGATCATTTCTGGCACATCATGGTTGGCCATGATGCGATGCATTATCACTCCGCTGATCGTCGTCGCCCGCTGATTAGGCACGGCTGCCGCCTCAATCCATCGCGACAGGTGTTCTGTTATTATCACGATGTATTGATCCCCACTGGTTGTCACAGGAAAGGGGCCCATGACGTCAACTGACCACAACTCACCGATTTCTGAGACAGGAATAGGTTCCATGGGATGGGTTGCCCCTGTCGTATCCGCTTTCATTAGTTGGCTGCGCTTACAGGACACCACATAATCCGTCACCTCACTTCCCATCCCTGGCCAGTAGGCCCTCCGTTAAAGTAAGTCGTACGTCTTGGTGCACCCTGTGCGTGCCATCTCATGGCATTCAACGATAAGATTCCGTCTTAAGACGCGAGGTATCCTGGGCAGCACAACATCCGAATCAGTGCCGTTCCGGGAAATTATGCCAGCTTCATTCGGCCTCAGCCGATAAAGTGACTCTGGAACGTTTTTAATTCCTTGTCTTCCTCTCTGTTCTCAATGCTCCTTCCATCCAACAGGGCGGCTGCAACCTTTTGCCACACAGGATCCTGCCGTTGGAGTTGCACCAACCTTCCGGGATCCAGTTCGACGACGATTGGCTCCACTTGTGATCCTGGGTACTTCATCTTCAGCCTCTGGTCTCGACAGCCAATCAGTCAATTGGTTCTCCTTCCCGGGCACGTGCTGGATTGTGAAGTCCTACTCTTGCAACCGGAGTGCCCAGCGCGCGTGCTTTCCGCGAGGATCTCTGGTGGTCTTGATCCACTCCGGGGGTTTGTGATCGGTTGCGACATGAAATCTTTGCCCTAGCAGATATGGTCTCCATTTATTCAGGGCTCAGACTATCACTAAACATTCTTTCTCAATGGTGGAGTACTTCCGTTCAGCGTTAGTCGCCTCTTTTACTAATAATCCACAGGAGTCCTAGTGTTCCGCAGCACTCCAACGTATTAAACTCAGTCAGACCTCCGTTTGTTTGCTCAAAATAACTCACCATAATCGTATCCTATGGAATGAGCATATGTAACGAAGAATCTGAGTTACCCCGAACACTTCATCAGCGGCTGTGCGCTCCATACTAAACATGTAACCCGTGGGTCAACTGTGGGATTCGCTCTCATACATATACATCGGATGGTCTGAGCATCATCTGTATGAAACACGAATGTGAGCAATGTGGTTGTCAATTATTGCCATCGATTTCCGACCTCGAGACCGTTATTATCTGCGTGATTAAAATACTCTAGTAGTAGTGGTTCGTGGGATGTTTTGCCGAATGTTCGTACACATTATTTTTTATTACCCATCTGAGGACAACTTCTGCAACACCATAACATTGAACAAGTTCCTAATCGGTTTCACCTAGTTTGTGTTGATCCAGTCAACAGTGATACTACGTGAATGAAACCACACCTTGCTCAGTTGGGCGTTAATAATTAGTTGGAATCCGATGGAATATACCAACTGAGACACCAGGGTACACCCAACAGGCTCTCACTTAGGGGTGAGTGATTCGGCTTGGACATCTATTCGCACACATCAAAATGTAGTTGAGGCCGTATACAGGGACCAGTTCATGGATTATTCCATCGGCCACAGGAAATCTGGTCAAGCATGAGCACCTCGGCCCTGCAAAATATCAGGCTAGCCAACCAGTGGCTAATTGGAGTTGGGAGTGGAGGTGCCACTTGTCTGATATAAAATGTTTATTGTATTGCAATGTACCGGATTGCATTGTACTGCATTTGACCATTACAGTAGCAGCAATGCTTCAGGATTCCGTTTCTACTTGCAGACGATAAAAATATTTAACTTTTCGCAAGGAACGCAGACGTAGTCAACTTTGTGAGATCACTGGATGAACGTTCCTACCTAATTAGCACTGAGCCGATAAAAAATACCATATCACCCCTATTTGTACACAACCATAGAATAACTTAGGATTGGGATGGTGGCTCTTCAACTTTTCTCACGCCATTTCCTATTTCCCAAACACTTCTCATGAGTGTTTTCTTATTTGACGGTTAAAAGGAGGCTTTACTCAAGATATCGCAGAAGAATGGTCCATTTGGTTCAGTGTAGGGTCAAGAACTGCCTCGCACTTCGGCGAGAAAATTAAAAGGTGCGTAACATACTGAATTCGACACCGATTCCCTCATCTCTCATTTGGTGGCCAATGAAGCCAGATGTCTGTGGTGAAAGACTGCTTAGAAAGAAGTAAACTCCTTAATTCACTATTTCTAAATTCAAGATAACAGCAGTATTTCTTTTCAACGTTCATATTTTCCTGGAATTTTTCTTGAGAGAAGTCAGTGTGAATGAGCACACACACAAAACAGTTATTTAGTAGTTTATATTGACTTGGAGCTCATCAGGTGGGCGCACTTCCCGAGCTTTCGTCGACCAGTGAACACTACGTTTTACGCAACTAGCGAAGTTTGCAAATTTCGTTGGTGTTACAAAAAGGCTTGACTGAATTCAAGATGAAACTGTTGTTTAGTGTACTATCCAACTTATGCTTCATTTGCTACGACAGTAGAGATATTGCAGCACATGTACTCAACGCAACCCAGTATTCCACTAAGAATGCAAATAAGTAGACACGTCCAACTGTGTAACGTTGGCGTTCTAGTAGAACATATGTCTAACGGAAGTTTGGAGATTGTACCCGTCTAATGTGTACAAAGAAGGACGATACAGGTCGTGAGCTGTCGAATAGTTTCCAACAGTGTTCCATCAATAAATTATATTGCGATAACTTGAGTATTATACCAAACGAAGGATCAGGAAGCCTTTGCACAGTACAGTCATTTAAAGAATTTTATGAACGGAGATTCAGCCAGGGTTCACATGAGTCTTACATTAATACTCACCTAATTCAAAATGAGTGTGTTTAGCCAGGTGTGTAGTACTTCCGGACACGCCATTTATTGTCCTCCACATTACAACCATCAATAGTAATTAATCTCATGCTGATCATTTTTTGCATTCGCCCACGGTGGTTATTGTGCGACGGAGGGCTACCATAATTTGGAGTAACGAAACGTTGAGAAGACGTTGAGAGCTCTTTGTATTCTTTCCACATAGTTGATATCCTCTGGTGCGCTCCACGAAAGTGACTGCCTCATTCCTAGAATCCCTTTGAATAATGGATCAATTAATGGAAACTATTCAATCGATTTTCCAAAATCTACCCACGCGTCTTCGTGATCATTGTTACTGGGGGTGCACTGAGGATATATTCAACAGCTGAATACTGAACATGTCCATTTCGGGATATTACTACTAAGATATTGGCTTTTAAGAGTACACCATGTAGTTTTGTTTTGTTTATCATTGTCAATAACATCAAATGACTTATCTGCCCTGCCATTTCAGATTCAAACGGGTTGTGCGACAAACCGGTGCATATGTACCAGGTGATGGAAATTGATTTAGTAGTGCGAACAAGATGATACGAATGCCTCAAATTTAGGTAGAACCACTTCATCTGTAACCGAATTATTTCGGAATTTGTTAATATAGGGGATGTGCGGCTGTCCAGTACAATCTACTGAAGTGGCAGTTTGCATGAAAATCGCTCGAACACAATCGTGTGTATGTGTGAGATGCGATTACATACCCTCCGTTCAATTAACCAGTTCACGAAGATGTTCGCTCAGCTAGTGGATTGGGGCTTCAAAAGCTGTGTTCATCGTTTAGTTCGTTTTCCGTTGAGAAAGTTGCCCCACTAGGAACGCTCTGACTGGCCAGCTGAATAAAAGAATCTGGAGATGAGTGCCAAGTATAGTGAGAAAGCCGAGATAAAAGTCCAAAAGCACGCCTATCGGAAGTTTTGTGGACTTCCATATCCTGTGAATGAAAAAAGCCAAACATGTGGACGTAAGCTTGCTGAAAGCTCTTTGATAGCAGTCCACGATATCTCGTCAACCTTATATTCTACATGAACCCGAATTGAACCTTTTTCGACAAATACACGCATATATATATATATATATATATATATATATATATATATCTGAAATGACGTCTCATTATGTTTGAGAAGTGTGCCCTTAACAACTCCCATCCGATAAGCAAGGCTGTTCAACTGGTTACTTCCCACTATATCTACGAATATGGTTGTATGATGAAAGGCGAGTATACTGGTAAAACAATGCCAGCTGGTTTTACGCAAAGCTCGACAGTTTCCCAGTTGGTTCAAGGTGAGTCTCTCGTCAAAATCCAATTGGTATGCAAATAGGTGTATCTCACTGAGCCAAAGGTATTTTTCTCAGCAAGTCTTTCCCAAACGTTTTACACTTGTTATACAACGGTTTTGTTTACATTAATCAAGGATTTGGCCATCTCTATCTTACAAAGTTATGGCCTTTTGTCAACGAGAAGTGGCACCAATTGAAGGTATTTTATTTGACCGCACTTCAGCAAAACTTACACCCGAGAAACATTCGCGTTACTGATATGTCAAGTACGCGGTACTTTGCACCACGTAGGTTTCAGACTATTCCGGGGCTGACTTGACACGTCACACTTTACTGCTGAATCGACTAATTCTCTGGTGACTTCGAATTGATTTAG